TATCCTTAGAAAAATATTGCAGGATGGAGCTAATCCTTCCAACCCTTTCCCACTCACTCACTGCTTCCAGGGTTTTAAGAGATTCTTTGTAGCTTTCTTTATAGGAGAGTAGGTGAGCTGCCATTTTACCATTTTAATTAAAAGTGAAAGAGAAAGAATCAACATGGACAAGTGTCTCTTATGTGCTCAGAGCTGTGCTAGTGCTTAGTCAACGTCATGTAATTTAATCTGTACATGTATTCAGGCATTTATTATGATTATCCCCATTTCACTGATATAAAATATGAAGTTCAGAGAGGTCACACAGTGACAAGTGACAAGAGCTGCTTCAAATCCTTTTGTAAAATGAGCTAAGGAATGAATGGATGAAAATGAAATTAAGAGGCAAATCTGGGATTTTAATCAGGTCTGCATGATCACATACACAGCACTCAGCCCACCTCACGTGGGACCTCTCAAACAGGACAACCTTATCAGGTGAGCAGAACCCATGGGGCACAAGTAACATCCTTCAAATGATAAAGTTATACCCAAGTCCTCTTGGGACAAGAGATGCTCTCTGAGATGCTTTTGAACTCTGACAGTATAATTTATCCTCTCCTTTGTGCACCAAGCAAAGGGAGTCCCACTCTCTTTTAGGGTCTCACACAGGAAACCCAGACATTGTCAGGCCTTGTTCCCAGGTCCCTGCTTCTATTCAGGCACCTCCCCACTGGAACAGGTTCCACCACATCCAAATGGCTTGGGGTACATCTACCACCTTTGATGACTCCAAAAGCAAATGGAACTAAACACTGGGTGATCTTGTGCCGATTACTTCTCTGAACTGAACGGTGCTTGGCATAAAGTCAGGGGTGGGAATCATCTGTTGAAGGGATGGTTGAATGGAGGGAGGGAGGGTGAGTAGGTCAGAAACCACAGCAGTAGATATGGTGAAACAGTAGATATCTGGACTGCCCGTTTTTCCTGCCATTTCCATAGTTATCAATCTGAGCGGTACAGGACCAGAGGAAGGAGGTTGCTTTCCTTGTGTTACATCTCAGGAAATACGCTCTTATTGCTTATCTTCTTAACCCCCTTCCTCTCAGCAGTCAGTCCGTCCATATCCCCAGACACACACCGCGATAAGCATTTCTCAGCACAGTAAAGTGACCTTATTAAAAGCTAAGCGAGGATTTGTTGGGCACAGCCTGTGCAGACAGCCAAATAAATAGCAGTCCAAGGCCTGGCTAGAGACGCAGCTTTATCTCAGCATTTGTCTCACTTAGAGATTTCCCAGGCCAGGTCCGTCCCAGGGTCCTGTCCTAGTTCGGGCTTTGTTTTACTTTGCTGAAAGTAACTAAAAGCAAGAATTCAAGAGCCTGAGAGAACCATGGGGCTGGCAAGTCGAAACGCCTAGGAAGAGCATACACATTCAGGGTCTTTATTCTTCAGTATTTGAGAGCCAAGAGTCCATTCACCCAAAACAAAAGCCGTGAACTGCCTGGTGCACAAGTGGGATACAAGCAGGACTGCTATATTAATGACCATGTGTCTGAATGGCCACCTTGCTCTTCATTCTTTAAGGTATGTCCAGCCAAATGATCATCAAAGTTCCACAGGCAGCTGATTTCTGTCACATTCAGAATTTCTCACCAGCCTGCAAACCAACTTCCTGGAAACAGCAGGGGTGGCCTGTACATGTTCTAACCCTTGAACTGTGCCTCTCATCAAAGAACCAGGAAAAAGGGTCTGGCCTTACAGAACTCAGCTACCACCCCAGGAGCCAGGAAAAAAATAACTTTTTTTTTTTTTAAATAAAAGATCCCACTTGTTGGGAAGCAGAAGGAACAATACTATGCTACGATCTACAATGATAAAGTTCTCTCTACAAAAGAATTCAGACTTCAGAGAGTATATACTATATGATTTCATTTAAAGCAAGCCCAAAATTAGACGAAGTCTTTCATGGTGTTACGAGTCAAGAGATGCTTGCCTCTGTGTGGGAAGGAGGCAATAATAATGAGAAGCAGCACAGGGGGGCTTTGGGGATGCTTGGTAACATGTTATTTTGATCTATCTGCTGGGTACACGAGTGTGTTCATTTTGTGATCACTCAGATTGTGTGTCATTATCGGCATGCCATTTATACATCAATAAAAGGATGACTTAAATTTTAAAAAATCATTCTATAGACAGAAAGTGGCTTCTACTTGCTGCAGCTTGCCTGTAGAATCCCAACCAGAGACTTGCAAAAAGAAACAAACCCATAAGCCTATTTCCTCACCTTCAAATGGTTTTTTCACGGTTTTCAAATTCAGTAAGAAGTGTGGGGTTTTTTGCACTAGTCTGAATATCACTGAATTTCAGGGCCTGATCAAGCCGTTTCCTGCACTTGGCCCATCTCTGGATAGGCCAAATTCTGCCTGTGGTCCCACAGAGAGGCGGTCAAAACAATCCTTAGGCCTCCCAGGTCTGAAGCTCTGGAGAGCAGAAACTCAGGGAGCACAGGCTAAGTGAAGCAACTTTCTCCAGATTACACAATGAGCTGCTGGTGGGGGGCCTTGTGATTCTCCGTCCAAGGACTATCACTTTTCTACTACATCTCATTCCACCAGGGCCAACTAATAAACACTCTCCTTTGGGGAAGTGAGGGAAAAAATGATCCCAAGGAATGTCACTGGCCTTTCTTTGTATACAAAGCACACAAAGGGGTTGACGGAGTTCCTCTCCAACAGGAAACCATTTGTCTGGGGGAGCCAGGAAGAGGAGGGGAGAAGTGCTGAGTCGGCAACAAGGCGCTGCAACAGAGCACAGGGGTTTTTTTGTGGAACCGATGTTCTCCTAATCAAAACACAGTTGCATAAATGGACTCACTCCACTTTAAAAGAAGAGGAAATTTAAAGCCTATAAACAGGGACGACACAACCCTGATTAATAATTTGAAAGCTCTTTCTCCACTTTCTTTTTTAGAAAGCAGCTAAAAATAAAGGCTTGAAACTTGAAATAATGCAAGCAAGTAATCACACGCGCACTGGGCTTTTCCCATATATGGCTGCGTTATTCTTCAGCCTTTGAAAAGGACAAATGAAGAGATGGCCAACAACCAAAATAATCCTTCAGACATTTGAAAATGAGGAGAAAGGGCTAGAAGAGTTGATGAATGACAAACAATTGCAAGGCTCAATGGGGATAAGTAACGCTGAGAGGGATTAGTTGCCATAGTACTTTAAAAACATGGGCACATGCATTTTGACACTGGCCCCTTCTATAAAGAGACTGTTTTGCCCTCTGGCCTCAGCACTGAGAAAACTACAACTGCGGTCATTTAACATAAAGGACTTAAAGAAGAAAACCAGTGCAGGGGCATGACTGAAAATTTAATTATGGCCCCTCTCAGTATGAAAGCTATAAAGGAGATGAGAGCACATCTCAAGGTCAGAAAAAAGGGAAGGAGGTGTGAAAAAGGGAAGAGGGTGGGGGTTTGAATGAGATGAGAGAGCCTAAAACGCAGAGGTCGGCTCTGGAGGACTGCTTTCTTATGATGGAGAGTTATTACAGTGTCAGTTGGGTCCTACTTGAAATGTTTCTGTAGAAAAGATTAACACATTCATATCAAATAAATGCCACCTTTGTGAGACAGGCTGGAAAGGTCACCTTTGCACAGTGTTTCATGGTTTACAAAGCCTCGTCACAGACATAGTCCTGGACACAAGGTAAAGCACCTGCTTTTACTGACATGGAAAGCTGAGGCTTGGGGCGGGTAAGGGACCTAACAGCAGGCGTATGGAGGGCGGCTCGGTGCAAGAGCACTGCAGCAGCAATTCGAAGCTAATTCTCCCAACGTGCAGGCCAGGGGTCTTTCCACTCCCAAAATCTCAGAAAGATCACTGGTCAGAGTGCCACGTTTAGGTCTGGATTGTGGCTCATCCACTTTCTTTCTCTGTGACCATAAGTAATTTTCCCCCTTTTGATTCTCATCCTCAACTGGAAAATGACAGGGCTTTCCTAGGTGGCAGGAGGCGGGTGGTGGGAGGCAGAGAGAGACACGGACGTGAACCAGCAAGTCACCCTGCTCTCTGCACTCATCTGTGAGTCTGCCTCTCAAATCCCAGGCAGGACTCTTGGGCACTGTCACCACTTCACGCACGGAGATAGGCTTCCCGTTACAGACGGACATGCATCACAGAACCTAGAGAAATGGTTTCCAAAAAGACTAGAAAACCTCTTCTTTCCTCCACACATAGAGAAACAAAAATGACCGAAGAGGAAACATAAATTCTAAATTTTCATTCCACTCCTCTTTTCTTTTTTCACTCTCAGTGGAATGGACCTTCCTTAGGATGTTTTGGATTCTTTCCTGAAAAGACACCCCACTTTTTGGGGACACTGCACACTTCTAAAGGTTTTCCCAGCCACACCTATAAAGGCTTTGCATTTTGCTAGGGAGTCAATAATAATAATAATAATAATAATAATAATAATAATAATAATAACAACAAACAACAGCAACAAGGACGGGAGGCATCATATTAGTTGAGGGGCTGTGACAGGCCAGTCCCTGTTGCTGAGCCCTTTTTATATTTTATCCCTAATCTCTGCAGTGAGGTCAGTATTATTATCTCCATTTTACAGATAAGAAAACTAAGGCTCACAGAAGTTTAGTGACTTGGCCAAGGAAGGCCATCTTCATAACTACAGGGCTGGGATTTAAACCGCTGGCTGGCTGCTACCAAAGTCCATTCTTTCTTTTTCTCCTCCATTATGAGACCTCTAATCAACACGCTAAAGGCATCAGAGATTCTGCTTGTCCATGGTTTCTTTTTGTCATGGTCCAGCTAAATGGGATACCTTCTAGGTGGTCATGAAGTGCTCCCACTGAAATCTCAGGGCAGCTGGAGGGTTAAGTAAGGTGGAGAAGAGGTGGGCTGGGCTGATGGCATGTAAAGTGACCCCAAATGTTTTCCCCTGCACCCCTAGGATCAGGTCCAGAATTGTGATTTCATTTCCAAATCACTAACCTGGTGAGGCACAAGCCCAAGAGAGGTTGGAGGCTCATTCATGCGGTCGTCACTGCTGCTGGCAATGGCGTAGCCCCTGAGAAAAGGAAACAATTAGAGCAGCTCGTGTTTCACACGTTAGGGTGACCTGGAGGCCGTCCGTGTAAGATTTATGAAGATGAGCAAAATGCCCCTTGCTAGACAGCATGAGCCAGCAAGAAACTGATTTCCCTGTCAGAGAAGGCAGAGAGCACTAAAACAATGCCTGAGTTTTAGGGTCAGAAAGACCAGAGCTTGTGACTATAGGCAAGTTGCTTATCGTCTCTATGCTTCAGGCTCCTCTCCTATAAAACAGGAATAAGATGGCTGTGAGGCATACACTTAGGAATAAGTTAGACAAATGGCCGAGTGCAATGTCTGGCACATGGGAACTCCCTCACTCTGAGACACTGAAACACCTCAGCACATTTTCAATTGGAATTTGAAATGGAAAACTTTCCAAGCTTAACTTTTTGAGGTGAAGTAAATGCTACCACAATGGAGGAAGGAGAAAGAAAAGTGAGACATTCATTGGGCAAGAGAATGAATACATTCCTTCCAGAAAAACGGTGCGGTTTTTGCTTATGGCACAGAAGACACACGACACAGGACCTGGTGTCAGCCTACAACCAGGGCAAACATGGAAGACAGAGGGTCAGGATCAGGATTCACAGCATCCGCTCTCCAGGATTTTCTCCCTGATGCTTCCTGTAAGAAGGCCACACTAAACTTAGATGGCAGGGATAGCCAAGGGTGATGACAGAGAGAGTGAAGACAAAGAAAGCTGCTCATTTTCCTTTAATTCTGGAGTATCCGTACTAGTTACATATGCTACCAAGATTGTACAGAGGCTATCTTCTCAACTGTGTTAAAAAAAATCTCGAGTCACACAATAAATAGAACATTCATGTTAATTTCTGAGAATCAGAAAAATAAATCCTTCAAAAATTCAATTCTTTCTGCTTGTATTACAAAGAGCATACCAGAATCATGAAAACCAGAGTTTGGAGCCAAGCTGACTGAGCTAAAGCCCAGCCTTACCGCTTACTAGCTATGTGAATTTCACCAACTTACTAATCCTCCCTATGCCTCAATTTCTCATAAAAAATAGGACTAATCATTGTTCTTTCCTAATAGGTTTGTTTTGAAAATTAAATTAGCTAATATTTGTAAAGTGCTTAGAAGTCTTTCAAAAATAAAAATACAGTAATACCTTGGTTTGCGAGCATAATTCGTTCTGGAAACAAACTACTCGTATTGTAAGACATTGCTCGTTTACCACATTAAAATGTATTAGAAATGTTTGCTCATCTTGTGAAACACTCGCAAACCAAGTTACTCACAATCCAAGGTTTTACTGTAAATTATAGTGTATTTCTCATATAATTAGGTGTAAATATTTGTTTGACGTTAGTCTGTCTTCACCATCTGACATTTGACAGCATAGTCTCAGGTATTGAGACTCAATACTCTCAGATATTAACAGAATCTTAAATTGTCTAATCTTTTCTCTTTTTGTTTCCTTTCCTTTTCTTTCCTTTTCTCTTCTTTCGTTCTTTTTTAAATTACTGCCTTTATTTTAAAAATTAATTTAATCTTTGTCTCACTTCTATTTATTACAAAATAAATTAATTCTATTGTAAGTCATAAAGTAAGATTTTCTCCTTGCTTGGAAAGATCGGGTGTCCAGATCACAATTGTGATAATTTTTGTATCTTTAACATAACATACACACATGTTAAACATAGAGACTAAAAGATCCAAAGTCAAGCTGAAACAAAACAACACCAACCCACTCATTTCTTCCCTCTCACATGCAAACGAAGTACACTATAAGTGCTTGTTAAATTAAAAGAGATTTTTGAAATTGGTATTTTTAAATGTATTACTGGACTAGGTGGTTGGGACCAAGCCTTCCATTGAGAACAAATAGGAAAGCTAGAGAAAGTAAAAAAAACTTTGTTTGAAAGCATCAGAGAGCTACCAAGGTAGGGAAGAATTGCAGAGCCAAGATCTGTGAGAGGAGTGAAGCCCATAAAGGTAAACCAGGTATTTGTAAGAGAAGCATTCTTCCATAAGTTGATTGCCAACCTCCAAAAGCAGTGAGCATAGGATCAGAAGCTAAACAGTGACACTGACAGACTTATGGGGTTTGAGGGAAAAACTAGAGTGTGAGGTCTACCGAGAAGAAGAAACCATGGAAAATAACCCAGGCTTTGAGCTGGGGCCATGGGGGATGACATCCTCAGAGCCAGGGTGAACCAGAAATAGACAAATACTGATTGTATTTAGTTGTTCTAGGACTGATAGTTAACACTTGGCCTAGCAGTTTGCCAGAAGGAAATGGAAATCAGATCATCATTAGAACTTTTCATATATAATCTCCAGGACTCAATCAAAAATAACCAAGCAGATTCAGGGAACTGGGGAAATTTAAATACTAAATGATATTAAGGAATTGCCTTTAATTTAGTTCTATATGTAAAAATAGTAGCGAAACATACTAAAAAGATACATTTTTATGAATGAAATGCTATATCTTGAATTTGCTTTAAAATAAGCCAGTGGAAGGAGAAAAAAGTAGATAGCAGTATATGTAAATGATGACTGGCCATGTGTTGGAAATTACTGAAACCAGGTGGCATATACAAGGAAATTTATTATTTTATGTATATATCTTCTTTCAATTTTCCATAATAAAAAGGTTTTGTTTAAAACAAAACAAAACACACCAGGTATATGAGAAGACAATACGTAACCAAAAGCCAAGAAAAACAACAGACAATAGGGAGAGACCCATAGGAGATCCAGATAATAGAAATATCTGATAAAGACTTAAAAGAAAAACATGATTAAATGTATTCAAGGAATGAAAAAGACCAAATTCTCAAGTTTAGTAGAGAACAGGAAATGTGTAAAATAAGGTCAAATGGAAATTCTAGAACTAAAACATTTAATAATGAAATTTAAAACCCAATGGATGGTTTTGACACATATTAGTAAACTGGAAGATAAGCCAGACCAAACCAAGGAAAGACAAAATGATGAAAAACACAGAAGAGAGTATAGGTTGATTCTAACTACATGTAATTGGAGACTCAAAAGGTAAGAAGCATGAGAAAAAGGGTCAGAAGCAATATTTTAACAGATAATGGCTGATAATTTTCCACAACAGATGTAAAACATCAAGACATGGACTCAAGAAGGAATAGAAAACATGATCAAAATAAATTCAGTAGATATATCATATTCCTACTTCTGAAAACCAATAACAATGAGAAAATCTTAACAGCAACTGGGGGAAGGGGAAGAGGAAGAAAAATTGTATCAAAGGAGCAGCAATGAGATAAACACCTAATTCCTCAACAAAGATAAAGGCAGTCAGAGACAATAGGATTATACTTCCAACATGTCAAAAGAGAATTACCTCAAATCTAGAATTCTATATATAGCAAAAATATATTTCAAACATAAAGATAAAACAAAGACATTTTCAGACAAACAAATATCTTTGTCACTAGCATTTTTTAAAGAAAATAATAAAGGGTATTCTTTAGGCAGAAGAAAAATGCCCTTGGCCAGAAGGCTGAAGATACAGAAAGAAATTAAAAGTAACAAAAAGGAAAATGTTAGTAAAACTGAATGAATACCAACTATATAACAATAATATTTTCTGGGGTTTAAAATATATACAGATTTTTTAAAAAAATGAGTAGGCAGACACTGCTGGTTGCCTACCCAACATCCATTCTCTGCTTCTGTCTTATCACAGTTTTATTCAGAGAGGCAATGTGCCTAGCCAAAGCAACTATACATTTGTCAGTCTTTTCTGCAGCTAAGAGTGCAAGGTCATGTGACACAGAAATGACAATCAATGTGTAAGTCTTCCAGGAAAGCTCTTTAAAAGGTGGGCAAGTCTCAGCTGAGCACAACTTTTACCTTTGGGTCATTCCTTTCTTCTTAACTGTAACACACAAGCAATATCGGAGGCAGAGCAGTCATCTTGTGACTACAAGGTGACAAGCATAAGGAAGAAAGCTACGAGGGGCTGAGTGAATGACAACAAGGAACGTCAAGTCCCTGAAGCCTTTGTACTCATCCTGGACTGCCCACCTCCTGGCTTCTTGCTGCCTAAGGAAGCCCCATTTGGCTAAGTCACTGAAGATGGATCTCTGTTACATACAGCCAAATTAAATTTCTATCACATGTGATTCATGTGTTGCCTCACACATGTTCAGGGCTAAGGAGATCAATACTTACTAACAGAATAAAAGCATGAAAGTCCTAAGGCCCCCGACCAAAATTTTTATTCTTCCACATCTTCGGTCACCAAATAACTCCAGGAGAGTTCAATTCCAAAAGGATGCAGAGATGTAGCACAAAGATTACATGACAAGTTCTCCCAGGCCAAGAATCAGACCCAGTTTTTTAGTATTGGTTTTTCTTTTTTTTTGAGGACAGAAAGAACAACACAATTCTCAGGAGGGTCAGGCTGAGAAAAGGCCAAGGGAGACACAAAAGCGTTCTTTGTTTAAATACCCATCTTTAAACAGCAAACTCACCCTTCTGGATGCTGCAAAACAGAAACCATCAATTCCACTGCCAGAGCTCCTGCAATCATAGCCAGTCCTGGACGGCTCACAGTGCACTGCTGGTCCAAGGTCCGGTCTCTGGTTGACTACAGAGAGACGATCATTGACATGTGCACGAAGTTCTATTCCACTCAACTCTAGCTGTCTGAAGCGTGAAAGTCCTCTATGATAAAGCTATACAATATAACTAAATGCTCACTGTTGGCGAAGAACATTCAGCCTCATATAATATTTCTTGCAAGTACCAAGAAAAACAAAATATACAATTTAGGTAACTAAGTGAAGTAATGTGCTAAAAAGGACTAGCAGTTATAAACAAATTAAAGATTGGGGGGTTTAGCTGCCTCATATATGGAGTTGCATCATGCACCCTTTTAACTGACTCAATTCAATCCTACTGTACTTGGTAGCTGAGAAAGAGACACACAGAGAAATAATCATTTGATTGGCACAAATGATTCTGTCCTGCCATTTTAACTGAACTAATGCCTCCGAGTGCCTGTGAGCTGGGAGCGATAATTTGCTATTCCTGCAGTGCTCAGTTCCTATGAGTCTCTCACAGTACGAGCATCTTGTCACCCTGAGTGTGATCCCAGGACTTAAATATAAATATTTTTGCTACAGCATGGCTCCAAACACAAGCCTTCATTAGTTCAACCAAAGAAATTCTAATCTTCCAACTCCTGGCAAATTAAGGGATTGTTAGGGATAATTTTGACTCTGAAATTTTCACCCGATGAACAGATGTGACTTTATTGCAATTGACCCTTAATCCTATTAGCTGTTAATAACGAAATAATAGGATAAGCTATGTATTATAACACCACGATGGAGATCACAATGCCATCCTTCTTCACCGAAGAGAATATTTATTTCTTTTTCTTTATACTGTGAGGACATAAAAGCCAGTCATCCAAAAGAGATGTGAGTTATTAAGGAACAAGTTTTAAAAGGAGAGAATGGAGGGGAGGGTATAGAAAACACCTTTGCTTTGTTTCTTTAGAAGTGACAATCTGTTCTGATAAGACGATTTCTACAGGCTGCCTGGCACGGTGGCGTTAACACTATAGCATCTTAATTTGACAGTATAGTGCTTGCTGTTCAGAGCACTTTCACACTTGACTACTCTGCACTGTGAGTAGTCAAAAAAAGTATTCTTCCCTCCCCTACGGGGGTTAGCAGATAAAATACAAGATGTCCACAGTTAAATTTGAATTTTAGATAAACAATGAATAATTTTTAATATAAGCCGTTTGGGGCATACACCAAAATGTTATTCATTATTTGCCTGCAGGAATCCTGTTATTTTCCTTGCTAAATGTGGCCAGCTTATGGGCCCCAGCCCCATTCTGCAGAAGCACAGGGAGCCTTAGAAGCTTATTTGGCATTACCCCAGGGGGCAGTGTCCAAGCCTGGACTGGACTCTGGGTCTTCACACTTCCCATTTAATGCTCTCTGCACATATGCACAGGAGGCCGTGCTGAGCGTTTCCAGGGATCAGTCTATCCTGCAGTTACCTTGCTGAGCTTTGCACAAAAATGGTTTGTTGCTGCATTTCTATTGTTGAACAGGGAACAACTGTATACAGCCAATGATGCCAATCAAAGCTCCTAGTGTGATAATGCCACCCCCCCAAACTGGAGCATTCTTTTCTTTATTAAAAGACAATTTTTAAATAGTCACAAAGGAAAGAGCTGAGTCTCTCTACCCTAGTGGGCAAGATGGCTGTAGGAATATTTGGAACCACAAAGAAATCTACTTACATCTCCCGGGGCCACCACATCATTGCAGAAATAGCAGCCAAGTTTGTAGCCAGGGATGTTGGCAAAAAGCGACGAGCCCAGGTCAGCAGGTGCCACGGGGTGGCTGGGACACAAGTCCCCAGCCCCCTGTTGCTTAGGTTTCTTCAGGCCGTGTCTCATGACAACAAATGTGTCAAATCCCAAGGCAGCATTGATGACTAGCTGTGGGTTCCAAAGAATAAAAGACCAGAGTTGTGAGACAGACTTGTATTTTAAGCAATGGATCATTTCATATTTGGTCAACTTTTTAAACTTATTTTTAAGTATATGCATATGGATGAAATTAAATTCTAGAAGATGTTGGTAAAAGCTGCCCAAAGTGTAAAAGACTTGACAAGTAATTAACATAAATTATCTCATTTAGTTTCATTTAAAACTCCCAGTAAACATTTCCTATTTACAGATGAGGGGATTGAAAGTCAGAAAGGTTACTTCTATAACTTTCTCAAGGTAACTTAGCTGGTAAGGGGTAGGTGTATAAAAGTAGGTCTCGATAATTCTCAAACCCATTCCTTTCGCCATCATGCTATCATCTACCATGGCTATGTAGATTGTTTCGTAACAGCTTTGTTGAGATATAATTCACCTCCTATACAATTCACCCTCCAGATTTTCAAGGACAGGTTTTTTTTTCATTTATACTACAAGTTTTCTTAGTTGTAATTTAACTTATTCTTCCAAATTTCTGATTATACAGTATAAAAACTATTGGAAAAATAAGAAAAATCACACCAGAAAACGAAAAGCACTCACAATCTCACAGCTCAAACCATGACTATTAATAGTTTGGGGTATTTCTTCCTGCTGTTTTCTCCCTTTCTCTCTTCTTCCTTCCCTCCCTTTCTTCCTTCTTCTCGCCCCCTCCCCACAAACAGACATAGATATAAATTTTTATATATAAAAACAAAATTGATATAAAATATATACAATATTGTGTCTTGCTTATTATTTAACATGGTGTGGTATTTTCCATGTTATTAAAATTGTTTGAAAACAACCATGAATGGCTGCCTATTATTCTATCACTTGTGTGTAACATGATTTATTTAACCATCAAAATGGTTGCCCCTTAGCAGGATGGCTCAGCTAAAAAAAAACAACAACAACAAAAGAACGGTTGGCCCTTGAAGTTGTCACTGACCAAATAGTAGTGAATGAGACAAAGTCTTTGTCCCCTTGGAACTTACATTTTAGTGTGAGTACCTCTTCCAGTGTAGAGTACCTCAAAGGGTTATAAAAATTAAACAGTAAAGGATAACTATTATGAGGTATGATCAAAAAGTATGGTGAATGTTTAAATTTAAAAAAATTTATTACAGTAAAAGACACATTGCCATTATCCCCCTCACTTAAAGCACACTTATCGCATCATTCTTGCCACTTTCTGAAGCAGTTCTGGAAGTCCTCTTCCATGAGTGTCTTTAGTTGTGTTGTTATGGCTGTCTCGATGTCCTGAATCGATTCAAAAAGTTTTCTTTCATGGTCATTTTGACTTTGGGGAAGAGTGATAAGTCACATGGTACCAGATCTGGTGAATAAGGTTGATGAGAACACACCACAATATTTTTATTTGACAGAAACTGCCGTACCAGAAGCAATGTGTGACACACAGTGTTGTCATGATGGAGGATGAAGTAAAGACACTCATGAAAGAGGACTTCCAGAACTGCTTCAGAAAATGGCAAGAATGATGGGATAATGTGTTTGAAGCGAGGGAGGGTATTTTGAGGGGGATTAACGGCAATGTGGCTTTTACTGTAATAGATTTTTTTTTTTTTTTTTAGCAGCTGAGCCATCCTGCCACCTGTTGGCAGCTCAGCTCAGGCCGGGAATCAAACCGCTGTTGCTCAGAGCTCGTACTCTTGAGCGAGCTCTTAACCAATTGAGCCACTCGGCAGGCCCAGATTTTTTTATAAATTTAAATATTCACCATGTCTTTTGAGCATACCCTCGTATGTTGGATGATGGTTGTGAGGCGGTCTGCAGTGGAAGCCCTTTAGTACCACGTCACTAGGTCATACAAAGCACACTTCTTTTCTGGAGGGAGGGCAGCTTGGGGACAATTCTCCCTCTAGGGTGATGGTGCATTGATTGAATCACAACCAGAGCCAAGAGCCCCAGGGTCTACACATTCTACCTTTCTCTTGCTCGCAGCAATAACAGCAGGAAGCCACCGGCTCTCCCTGGTGTCCATCAATAGAAAGACGACATCGTGGCTTTCGATGAGCTGCTCCAGCTGCTCCACATCCCTGCGGGCTTGCTCCTGGGTGACACTGGAGAAGTTCACTGGATGTCCAGGCATAGGGATGCTCATGTTGAACCCTCTGGCATTCTAGGGAAACACCCAGATGTATGGATTCTGAAGCAGAGGTATAGGTGGTATCTCAGCCCATGTCTCCCTATAGCTACAAGTTTGTATGCATGGTTACTTGCAACCAGAAATTTCTCTGTGCACGATTATGCTTTTTCCTTTTGCTACCCCTGACCTCCACCTTCTTCACCACTGCACCCCAGGCCTCCTTGGCCTGTTACCCCAGGGCCCCTAAGGCTGGATAAAGCAGCAAATACATATGAATCCTAGTTCCTGAGTGGGCGGGGGTGCTTCCCATGAAGCAGGGAGAACACTGGAGAAAACTGTATCTCTGGCTCTTTCTTGGGATCTGAAGCCAAGAAATGTCATCAAAATGCACTCTGCCTGCCCGAATCCCCTCTGTCTAGCCAAGCTGTCACTTTCTACTTGTTCCCAAAACATGCCCTCCCCTCCATTTCCTTAGTGTATAGCATCTCCAAATGGGACGCTATAACAAAAATTCACATAAGATTACAATGATTGATAGTCTTGCCTTAATCTTCTTAGAGGTATATGAATTTAAAAAAAAACAACCCTCAAAACCAAAAAACTCTTCTGGCCAGAAAATCTACTAAGGAGTGTGTAGGTCTTTGTTCAGGAGGTGGCGGGACAGAGTGGGTGATAGTAGAGTGTGCTACTGAAGTGAAGCCTCATTCCCTGTCCAAAAGTAGAAGCTGCCCAGCAACCTGGGCGCTCTTCAAGTATGGGGACTCAGCATTTTTCACAGGGGCTTTAGAACAGCTCTGTAATTTACCATTTGCCCCTGCTGGCCCCACAGAGTCTTGGCAGATTACCAGTGAGTCACATATGGGTGCCAATAAAGCTGGGGACATTAACTTTCCACAGAAAAGGAAGTGTTCTAGAATCACAAGCTGTACCCTTAATCCCCTTATTACAGCTGGCCACAGGGAAGTGTTTGAAAACATTAGCTTTTTCATTCATTTGCCAAAACCCCTTACCTACTGGGGAGAAAGCTCTGGAGGCAGGGGAAGTGGTCCTTCAACAAAGGAAAATCTATTTTGTACATTGTAGCTATTTTTTCCTAATCTTAAACTTTAAAACTAATCTCTGGAATTCAAGCAAGGGACAGTGTAAACAACAGCAACATTTTTAAAAAATGAAAAAAAAAAAAAAAGTCAAGCAACACAGGAAAGAATGCCAGGCAGAAGGGTTTCAGAAAGAAAAAAGGCTCCGGCCAGCAGAGTGGCGCGTTGGTTAAGAGTTGACTTGGGAGCTCCAGCTCTGAGCAGCAGGATCCCGGTTCGGATCCCACATGAGGGCCATTGGCACTGCCCTCTACAGCTAAGATACTAAACAAAACTCGACCCGGAGCTGGGCTGCCATGAGTCGCCGGAGATGGCGTAGGCTGCAGTGGAGCTGCAGTGGGCTGCCGTGAGCTACTGTGAGTGGCTGACAGCTGGCGTGAGCTGCCATGAGTGGCCGTGAGCAGCTGTCCAATGGCCTACAAGCGACTGCCTCAGCTGAGAAAAGCACAATGATCACAATACCAACATGGCCAGTGAAGCGACGTCCTCCACAACTAGACTGAAGAACAAAAGGACAGCAACTTGTCTGTTCCCCTACCCCAATTCCCCAACACTGTTCCCCTCCCCCATTCCCCAGTAAAATCTTAAAAAAAAAAAGGTTCAAAACAAGTCCATTTTAACAATGAGAACACTACAAAGGCATCTCTTAGGATCTCATTCATTCATTCATGTACCAAATTCTGTAAGAAACAGTAAGAAAAGCAACTGCCACAGTAATAATAATAAAAATAACAATTTATCGTCTTATTACAATTGACAAAGCATTTTAAATAGGAACTTGATTGAAAAAGGTATTATTTAGGTATTTTAACAACACCAAGATTAAAGCATAATTACTCAATATCAATTCTGACCTTTTGAATAATACAGATCCTCACCCACATCCACTTGGCTAACCTAAATAATTCTCTCTCACTAAAATTTCAGCCAGCCACCCTACGTAGGACTGACACGTGGCCCACCATATAGGTCCACAATGCCTGAGGCTGCAATTCAGCAAGTGTCAACATAGTAGGTTTCAACCTTGGCTGCACACTAGAACCACCCAGACAGTTTTACAAATTCCTAATGCCAGGCTTTTCCCCAGACCGTGTAAATTGAATCTCTGAGAGTAGGCCCAGCGGCCATCAGTAGTTTCTATAATTCCCCAAATGTGATTCAATTGTGTAGCCAGGGTGAGGTATAACTTACAGAAAGTGAAGTACCCAGATCTCAAGTGTACCATACAGTTCGCTGGGTTTTGACAAACTGCAGATTAACCACTGTGCACACCTATCAGGACACAGAACATTGCCATGACCGCAGAACTTGTTTGCATGCCCCTTCCCAGTCACTGCTACTCCCACCCCCAATGGGACAACCACTGTTCTTTGTAAACCCTCGATTAGTTTTACCTAGTCTAGAACCTCATATACATTGTATCCTACTGTATTTCTTTGTTCGTGTTTGGTTTCTTTTGCTCATCATGTATTTGAGGCTCATCCGTATTAAGTATCAATAGTACGTTCCTGTTTGTTATGTGACTCTACCTCAATTTGTTTACTCACTTTCTTATTGATAGCGATTTGGGCAACTTCTAAATTTTGGCTTTTATGAATAAAGTTACTATGGACATTCTTGTGTAAGTCTTTTAGTGTATGTATACGTTCTCACTTCTCTTAGGTAAATATCTAAAAGTGGAATTTCGTGTTCATTAGGTAGGTGTGTGTTTAGTTTCATGAGAAGCTGCTAGGCTGATTTCCAAAGTTTGGCCAGCAAACTATATAAAGAGTTCTGACTGCTCGACAGCCTGATAACACTCAGCATTGTCAGTCCTTTTAGTTTTAGCCATTTGAGTGAGTGAGTAGTGATATATATTTGTGGTTGCAATTTATATTTCCCTGACTACTGATGTTGAGCATTTCTGTGTTCATTGGCCACTTATAGAACTTCGCTATGAAATAAGTGCCTGTTCAAGTCTTTTGTCCCTTTAAAAAGGGGTTTGTCTGTCTTATTACTGAGTGGTGGGAGTTGTTTATGTATTCTGGATAAAAGTTATTTGCCAAATATATGTACTATGAGTATTTTCTCAGTTTTGGCCAGCCTTTTCATCCTCTTAACGGCATCTTGAGAAGCAGGAGTTTCAGATCTTGATGAAGTCCAAGTTATCCATTTTTTCACTTATGGTCAGTATTTACTGGGTCCCAAGAAATCTTTGCCTATCACAAGATCACTAAGGTGCTTGCTCCTAGAAGCTTTGCAGTTTTAGCTTTTATGTTTAGATCTATGGCCTTACTGGGGTGTCACCTAAGGGGTCAGAGTATTCAATGAGGTCTGTCCCTTCTGGATAAGGGGGACTCCAATGTCTCCCTGCCTTGCTGGAGCTCTGGTATCTCCATTCTCACGGCAGAATGGTGGTGCCTCTTGCCCAGCCTAACTCAAGAGTCATGTCTTGAGCACGTACAACTTGATATTCAGTCAAAGACTCATGGTACTGCCTACAGAGTTTTCTGGAACTTCTTCTCTGTATGGCTCCTCTATGTCTGATACTCTGGCCTGCAAATTCCAGCCACCTTACCTGCTCGGAACTCAGACGTCAGTTTCCTCAGCTCATCAAGACCAAGAATATCCCACGGGCTCTGGCATGAGCCAGATAGTGCCTTCATGCAATAAGCTGGGACAAACATTCTTTCTTTCCCGTCTTTCACTGCCTATAGTTCACTGTCTAAAGAGAATCATTGTATATGATTTACCCGGGTGCAAAATTGTTTATGGTAGGAGAACTAGTCCAATATCAGTTGCTCATCAGGGTTGGAAACAGATTTCCAGAGCTGGGTTTTAAAAACTTTAGTGTGGCTCCTAATCCTACATTTTATTGCCTCACCTTAAAAAAAAAAAAAAATTTTTTTTAAATGGTGACCTCAAATAGTCATTTAATTTATTAAAGGTCAGGTTTTTCCTTTTCAATTAATTCAACCCCAAAATTAGGCACAGTATTTGTAGCAGAGCAGTTCTTTTCATGTCTTGTTCACTTGTACACCTTTTGGCCATGTCCTAGTGTAAGGAAAGTAATGGGTAAATATTTAAGTGAAAACACTACACTAAATTGAATATATAGAGAAAATGTTCTTTACAGGTAAGACTAGCTAACCAATAAGTGAAATAGCTTCACAAGTATTTTTCATGATTTGATGAGTTACACTAGTACTTTGGTGGGTTCTGTACATTACCTATTATTACTTATAAGGCATGAAGGATAGGAGTATACAAGACCTGGCTCCGGAGCTCAAGGACTTCATAATCCAATAAGGAAAATAGAGTAATATGACGTAAGTGCTGAGGAAGATGTGTTTTAGAAAAGCTGAACTTGATCTCTAAGGGCCGGATCTGGCCCTTGCTTCTGCCCCAGCCTCTTGTCTGTCTTCCTTGACCTCTGTGCTTCCCCTTCCCTGGTTATGTTTCAGTTCCACAGACATACCATCCTGCTGCCTACCCCAGGTGTTTGCACAGACAGCTCTGCCACCCTTAGTCTCGCTAACTCCCACTCATCCTTCAGGACTTAACTTCCTCAAGGAAGTCTAGTCTAGGTCAGGGTTTCCTGTTAAACATTCTCACGCAACTGAGCTCCTGTTTCGAGTACATATTACACTTATAATTATTTGTGAAATTAGTTATTAATGACTATCTCACCTACTAGATTATAGGCTCCAAGTAGGTGAGAGGGAACTTTGTCTTGTTCCCCAGTCCCTAGCACAAAATATTTGATGAGTAAGTAACAGAATAACAACAAATAAACAGGAGGAACTGCATTGGCTCATAGGCAATGGCTAGGATTTGGGCAAGCCAAAATTTCAGGCAACAAATAAGTGGCAGAGCTCAGATTCAAAGCCAGGCCTGTCTGGGCCACAAGGGGAGATCATAGCACTCTTCAGTGATAGACTGGATTTTTCTTATGCACTGCCTCCCTCTAACAGAATTATATGTCCATGCCTTTGCCATAGGACTTTGCAGGACTTCCCACTAGGAAGGCAGAGAGTACTGACTGAACTCATTGACTCTGGGCGTGGCTCTGTGACTTGCTTTGGCAATGGAGATGGAGCCTTTATTATTGAGCTGAGACTTTAAGAGGTATGGGTCATGGTAAATTTTCACCAACACTTTTACACTTCCACCTTCTACGGTAAGAAGAGCAGGACCAGATGGCTGTTGCTTCTTGAGCCTAGATTTTGAAATAATGACTATAGAGCAGACTGGAACTTGACTCGAAGCCTGGAGTCCAGCCTGGCCCAGCAGCTAAACCACAGCCAACCTGCAGACCTGTGAGCATGAAATAAATGTTTACAACTGTAAGCTACCGAGATGTTGGGATGTGTGATATGCAATACCGTTGCAGCAGAAGCCTAAATAGTATGACTCCTCGATGACAGGGCTGTAATTTATTCTTATTTTTTTTTGGCATCCAGTACCTAGCTGGGTACATAGTGGATGCTCAACCGATACTATTGAATTTAACCCAATAAATGATGTTCCTCAGGTACATGGGTCAAATGAACAAAACTATCAAAGTTATTTCTAAAGCAAAGACTTCTAAAAAATGAAAAAATGAGCGACTAAACAGAGAAACATTGAGAAAGTGGGCTTTTTTTTAGCTAGGGCTGAGAGCCTGTTGTGGTACTTTAAGTATAAGCAGATGCTTTGGAGACACCTAATCTAGCCTCTGTCAGATACATTAGTAAGCATACAAGATACAGAATCTCTTTTGCTGGATGACCTCAGAAACACCAGCGAGGTTTTGAATCAAATGAGCTGAATGACTTGTTTCTTATTATCTGGTGTTTTTAAAGTAAATGATCCAACTCAAAAATACGAAGCAGCTATAGTATAAAAGACAACTATTTTGTCTAATCTTTCTTCTGTATAGACTTGCATTCAACTGAATTTCATAAACCTATTCTAAGTAACTATCTCTGTATTCTGGTGATAAAGGAAAAATAATATCCTATACCTGAGCTACCATAAACCCCTTTGGAACGAGACAGGATATAAAAACATACATAACCCCAAGTTTCTCAACTTAGAGTCAGATAATGCTTCGCAACTTACAAGACATTTTTCAGACAGTCTTCATTTCATTTTTATAATAATACATGAGATTTTGTTTGTGTGTTTTAACCCCTGTCTCTGAAATGAGGACCCAGAGGCTCAGCCACATGATAGTGACAGATGTCTGACTGTCTTTCTCCAACACCATCAAGCCTCATTCCCCAAGACATTAAAGGCACAGGAGACAACCTGTGACATCCCCAAACAGCACTGACATACCACTCCGGGGAATATCCTCTGGAGCCGGTCTGCTGCCGCCAGGGCCTTGGGCTTGCCGCCTGCTAGGCAATCTTCAAATTCATAGAGAGGCTGCCTCACAGGATTGGAGTAGGAGATCTTGGCATTGTCCACAAAGGTGATGTGTCTGACGCCCCACCCCTGCATGGAAACAGAATATCATAGTGTGTTTCTGATGAACGTTTCATGGGGCGTCTCTCTTGAAATCCCTCAAAGGGGTTTTGTTTTGGAGTAGCTTGGGAAGCTCAAAATATAGAAAACTTCAGAAATGGAACTGTGCAAATTCAGTTTTTGCTAAATAGAACATCAACCTCCTTTAAAAGACAAAGTAATTATATAACCAGACCTGGTTTCCTGCAGTAATGAGACTAAGAAATGTCAGAGTGGCTCTACTAATTAGTTATACTTGACAGAGGTACAAGAAAGAGATTTGAAGGTGAGCCTCCTAAGAACTGTCTATGTTGCTGTCTGAAAAGAATTAGCAATAGACCCCAATGTCCTTGCTTTCCCTTAAGGAATAATTAAGTACAAATAACGGCTCATTTTAAAACTCACTTAAAGCTTGAATTAACTTCTCAGAAAAATAACAAGTTATTTCCCACTGTCTAGCACTGTAGAAGATTATGAATTATTTCTTCAAGAGGCAAAAGCATTAATAATCTGGAATATAGGGGATGATTCCATATTCTCAGAAATAGTTTTCATGATTTCACACACTCCAATTACATCTCCTATAAAGTCTTATGGAACCACATAATTTTAAAGTTGGATAGGATCCCTAAAATCCTTAGTCCAATTACTTTGTTTTACAGATATGAAAATAAAGCCTAGAAAAAATAAGTGACTCACCTAAGGTTATAGATCTAGTTAATGGTGGGGAAAGAATGAGACCCCCCGAGCTGCAACTAAATGAAGATGCCTGCTTTCTGGGCAGTGAGATGGGGGTGTGTGTATTTCAGTAGATCATAAATAAGCATAATAATCTAAGAGAAGCTCTGCTATGATTAGCTATTGATATAAAGATAAGATTCTGCTCTCTTATTTCAATATTCTTCTATTAGGGACCCTTAAATTCAATTAGGCTGATGATTTTAGGGGGACAATCAGTGAAGACCCAGGATTTGTTTTCAGGGTTGAGGAAGACAGGCCAGAATCCATTCTTTCAAAAGCATAGTTAAAATTGGCTGTTTGTGGGCCGGCCGAGTGGCACGATGGTTGAGAGCTGGCTTGGGACGCCAGAGGGCCCCGGTTCGAATCCCCCATATGAGGGCCAGTGACACTGCCCTCTACAGCTAAGATGCTGAACAACAGCTCAACCTGGAGCTGGGCTGCCGTGAGTCACTGGAGACAGCATAGGCTGCAGCTCCTGCTGCAGTGGGTTGCCATGAGCTATTGTATGTAGCCAGCAGCCAGCGTGAGCGGCCAGCAGCCGCAGTGAGTGGCCGTCTAGAAGCCTGCGACTGATCTGCCTCTCCCGGGAAGAGCGCAATGATGGTGCCAACTTGGGCCAGTGAAGCAACGTCCTCCACAACTAGACTGAAGAACAAAAACAACAGCAACTTGTCTGTTCCCCTTCCCACAATTCCCCAGCACTGTTTCCATCCCCCCAATTCCCCAATTAAAAAAAAAAATCTTTAAAAAAAAATTGGCTCTTTGTTTTGAAGCTCACTGGTAACTTTTGGTCTACCCACCCAGTTTGTAAGTTACTTTCATCAGGCAAGTAATCTACCATGGATGGGGAATAAAGGTATGGGAAATCCAAAAGTCACTTATGCTTGTTGAGGGATAATATTTCTGAAGAATTTTTGCAATCCTTAAAGCAATGCTGAGTGGATAGCAAGGATGGCAGCCTGGGAACATGCTAGGCAGTGGGAAGAAAGCCAGATAAAGTACAAACATGCCAAAGGTTAGTCACATGCTGGTGGACTTTCACACTTAACTTCTGGCTTCCTGGAATGCTACACAGTTTAAATGGCTAATCTGCAAAGATTAAAGAAAATTACAACATTCATGCTGGTGAGGATGGGGTGGTGAAAAATCTGCTTTACTGGTTGAGAATGTAAATTGGTGTCAGTTTTCTGGAAAACAATGTGGCAACCTTTCTAGGGTCTTTAAAATGTTTGCATCCTTTGACCTACTTCCAGGAATCTATCCTAAGGAAATATGTCCAGCAATCTAACCTAGGAAATCATTTGAAATACTGACAAAGATGTAATCACGAAGATGTTCTTTGCAACATAATTTATAGTTATGTAAAAATTTATACTAATGTAATGAATTGGAATCAATGTAACATTAGGGAATATGTTAGTAACTTATGTTTTATCATACAAGAAGGCATATTCTAAAGGCATTAAAAAGATCTAATAAACATCCTTTTTTTTTTTTTTAGATTTTTTTTATTGGGGAATCGGGGGAAGGGGAACAGACAAGTTGCTATTGTTTTTTGTTCTTCAGTCTAGTTGTGGAGGACGTTGCTTCACTGGCCCAAGCTGACACCATCATTGCGCTCTTCCCGGGCGAGGCAGATCAGTCGCCGGCCTTTGGACGGTCGCTCATGGCGGCTGCTGGCCGCTCACGCTGGCTGCCGGCTACACATGGTAGCTTACGGCAGCCCACTGCAGCAGGGGACTGCAGCCTAAGCTGTCGCCGACGACCCACGGCAGCCCAGCTCCAGGTCGAGCTGTTGTTCAGCATCTTAGCTATAGAGGGCAGTGTCACTGGCCCTCATATGTGGGATCCGAACTGGGGCCCTTTGGCGTCCCAAGCCAGTTCTTAACCAACGCGCCACTTGGCCGGCCCTAAACATACTTTTTAATGACATGGGAAAGTGTTTACAGTGTTAATTGATAAAAGCAGGGACATTACTATATATTAAATAAGGTTTTAAAATATACATTAAACAAACACTGAAAGGAAATAAATAAGAGAAGAAGTGGTAGGAAAATGGGTACCTTCTTTTCCTGCTTTATAGCTTTTATACTTTACAAATTTTCTATAATGGGTCTATAACTGACTTTATAACTTTAAAAAATGTTAAGAAAACTTAAGCACCTAATCCTAGAAGCTAGTAAATTAATAAAAAAAATCCACAAAAAGAGGAAAAAATAAAGATAAAAGTAGATATTAATGAGTCTGAAAGTAAAACAAAACAAAAATTATAGAACTAATAAATCAATCAATGATTTAGTTCTCCAAAAAGACTGATAAAATAGACAAGCCTCTCTGGCAAGTCTGAAATAGAGAAAAAAGGAGAAAACATGAAGTCCTAACATTAAGAATGTGGAAAGGTTAAAAAGAAGAGAAGATTTAAAAGATGATTTAAAAAATACAATAGGTATTTTACGTCAATTAATTTTTAAATTTAGATGAACTGGATTTTCTAGGAAAACAACATGACCAAACTGACTCAAAAGTAGTATAAAATCTGAACAGTTAATCAATACAGAAACATTTGTAAAAGTTCCCTGATTCTCTTCCCACACCACCAACATAATTAATTCCAAAAGGCACCAGGCCCAGCTGGATTTATAACTGAATTTTACCAAACCATCAAGGAACAGATAAGCCATACAGTTAAACTGCCCTGGAATATTGAAAAGGCAGAAAGTTTTAAGTTTATTTTATAAAGCTAGCATAACAGGTGTAAGATATACAAAGATACCACAAAGAAAAACATTACTATAGACCAATGTGACTTATGAATACAGATGTAAAAATTATAAATAAATCATTACCAGTTGAATTCCAATGTATATCGTAAGAATAAGATACCATGAACAAATACGGTGTATTCTAAGAACGCTCAACATTAGAATACTTTGATTAGCTTGATAAATGTATTTGATAAAGCTCAACAGTCGTTTCTGATATGAACTCACAGTAAGCTAGAAATAGAAATCATCTTCCTTAACTTCTAAAAAGAGCACTTAACAGAAACCAATATCAAAATTAAAGGTAAAAACAAGAGTTTGATCATAAGGTCGGTAACAAAAAGAGGATGTCAACTCTCATTGCTATTCCTCCAACATTACTATGGAGTCCTAGCCCATCCTATAAGACAATGGCTTTAGAATATGCCTTCTTGTATGATGAAACATAATTTACTAACATATTCCCCTAATGTTAATAAAAGTATAAATGTTATCAACTTACAAAATTCAAAAGAATCAAATAAAAAACTATTATAATTAAGAGAACTTAGAAAGATGGCCAGACAGAAGATAAGCATTCAAAACTCATTATCTTTCCTATATCCCAGTAATAGTCAACTGAAAAATTTAATGGAATAAAATATCTCTAAAAGAAAAAAAATCATTAAATATGTAGAAATAAATTAGATAAGACATGTGTGAGACCTATATAAAGAAAATGCTACAGAAAGACAAAGATGTTCTAAATAATTGAAATGCTTCTGGAACTAAGGATCAATATCATAAAGATGCCAATCCTTCCCAATTTATCTATAAATTCATTGTCATTTCAATTAAAACTGTGAGTAGGACTAGAGGAATAAATGAATGGAACAAAAGAACAAAATAGAGAACCCATAAAGAGACTCAGGTATATAAGGAGATTTAGTATTTGACACAGGTAGAAAAATGATGATTTGTATTATTGAATAAATGCCATTAAAACAAATGACTATCCATTTTGTGAAAAAGAAGTTATTCTTTACCTCTCCTCATATAACAAAAATAAATTCCACATTGATAAAGAGCTACACATAAAAAACAAGAGTGATTTAAACTATAAAGGAAAAGATTGACATTTAATCATAAAATTCAAAAAAACTTTTGTATGGCTAAACATACCTTAAATAAGTTGAGAAAAGTATTTGCATCATATAACAGAAAAAGGTTAATATCCATAATAAAAAGAACTCCAGATCAATAAAAGAAACACAACTCAAAGGACATGAACATAAAAAATAAAATTCACAAAAGAAATAAAATTAAAGACTTACTTCACTAATTAAAGAAATGCAAATTAATAAGCTCTGTTTCTCACATGTTTCTAGGATACAGACTAGTATAATGTTTCTGAAAGGTAATTTAGTTTGGGGAAAAAATATATATATATCGGGGATGCCAAAAAAATGTATACAAGTGGACACTTTGGTCAACGTTGCTGAAGCAATAGCTCGCCGTAATCTGAAATGTCTGGATGCTGATGGTAACCACTTTGAGTACCTCTTGTAATTGCAGAAGTCAAACGTGACTTGTATTCATCTTTTGTTATCAGTATATATTGAGTATTACAATTTTAATACAGTTTTCCTTTCTTAAAATGTGTATACATTTTTTGGGCACCCTCTGTATATAAATATAAATTGAACATTCTCTCTAACACAGCAATTCTATTTCTGGGCTATTTTCCTAAAGAAGTAATCCTATGAATATGTAAAGATATAAATATAAAAATGTTCATTTCATCAGCACTTCTAAAAGAAAAATAGGCTGAAATGGATGAAATAAGCAGAGGAATAGTCATATAACAAAATACTACATATACATAATATGGAATACATAGGAAGAGAGCCACAGTTATTTTTCTATTAAGTCAAAAATAAAAACCTATTATAGACAGTATGCTATGATCCAATTTTTGTAAATATAAATAAATAAATAACAGCAAAGACAACAAATGTCTCTCTGTATATGCCTGCGAAAACTTCAGGGAAAGATATGCTGCATGCTAATCTATGAAAGCTGTTTAATTCTGGGAGATGAAACTTGGGATGGGAGTGGGGGGAGGCTTTCTGGTTCTGCCTTATAAGAAAAACATGTATTCTTTTTATAATTAAAAATATACTGAGGAAAGAAAAAAGGAAAGAGAGAAGGAGGGAGAGAGGGGAAGGCACATCTGGAAGTTGGAAGGCAATTAAGTAGAGTAAAATAGGAAGAGAAGCCACAACTTCAAAGGTACCATTCCGCCCCCACGAACTTACCATCAGTGTCCTAGCTACGTTACAGCCCAAGGTGCCAGCTCCAAGCAGCAGACATCTGGCAGACACAACTTTGTCTAAGTCCAAAGTCGGCACCAATCTCCAACACATCAATTTGAGATTTAGATCCACTGATGACTCAGCTAACCTAGAAAATGAGAGAATTGTTTATTGACTCAGTCAATCACTCATTTATGTCCCTTTTAAATAGAAAGTAGCTGTATGAGAAACCAAGAAATAAATACTATGGAATTAGGATCAAAGGGAAAATGAGATGGAGCCTGAGGGTACATGGTGAGGAGAAAGGTTACTGTACAGAATGCATGCCATTGTGGCCCTCTGCAAGGGGGAGTGATAGGCCACATATTTGATACTGAGCTCCTAGCAGCCAAGATGGAAAGGGAAGCACGGCTGGTGATAGGAGTCAGTTTGTCCATCAATAAAAACACACCAGCTGCTTAACTTAGAAAACTTTTTCCTAATACTGAAAACAGAGAAACTTATTTCTAAGTCCCTTCAATAAATGATGCACTTACACCCTCCCTTTAATATAATACTGGTTTCTGTGAAATATTTCTTATAATGTCCTTCAACATAGGCTAATAGGACAAAATTAAAGGGCAATGAATAAAGGACTCAAATGTGGTGCAGGTATACAGGTCTGAAAGTCTGAGCTTGAAGCAAAAACGAAATTTAGAATATCTAGATGAACAGATGCCCTGTGTGCCCTTCAGGATATTCATCATTTACATTAATTCCCACAACCAAACTTAAATTAAGAATTAGGCAGCAAGGAGTGCCAGAACACTCAATGTTCCCATGTGAATGGCACCCCCTGGACTGAACTCTGCAATGCCGTTGGCCGCACAGGACCTGGTGTGCAAAGTCCCACTGGACAAAACATCTTCCAAAATATACCTTTTAGGGTCCATACATTCACTGAGGTTCACCATCCTCGGTCCCATGCCTCCTTTCTGGTTCTTTTCCCATCCAACTGCTTTGGGACAATCTTAAGGCAAATAAAACAATAAGTTTAATGGAGGAAAGAACAAAAACAAGTAAGTCAAGCGGCAAGATGGCCCATGTACTGAGAAGCTTTTAGTGCACTTCTTTCTCAAAGAGGTTCTCAGGCCTGAATTTGCACCTCCTTGGCTGCTAGGAATCTTGTTTAGAGGCCAGGAGATCAGACGCATAGACTTCTCCTGTATAGGTGCTTCTGAAAAAGCCCTCATCGCTAGCCCGAGCTGCTCTGACTTCTGCAGTTACTGGAAGTTGCTCAAATAAAGACAATCATATTTGGGATTGGTATAACCCTGTGGAGGGTTCACTAGTTCAGGAGACAGGCTGGTGTGATGGCAACACAGTCCATGCCTTCTGTTCCTCATCCTTACCTTGTCCCTCTGCTCAGCCGCTCAGCTCCATCACTGTGTACCACCTACCTGTGGGCAGGTCACAGTCCAACAGGCCTGTCCCTCTGGTTAAGCTGCCCTCTCCTCCAAGATCACCTGACTTATCTCTCTTAACCTCTGCTATGGGTACCTCTGTAACTCCAATTCTAGCAGTTCTCAATGTGTGCCCGTATGAAGCTCAGAGAGGATAAGGATCCTGAAGCTAAGAAATGTGGGAAATGCCTCTAGACCCATATCTATGTTCTCTATCCGCCCCTTACCACCACCAGAACCTGGAGATTCATGTCACATGTGAGGGAGACAAAAGCTCTGAGAAGCCTGCAGTAAAGGAACCACTTAATTTGATTTGGGTTTGTGTTTCCTAAACTTACCTGAGCTGATGCTCAGTATTTCCCTCTCTCACTGGTAACACAGTCAGGGCAATGCAGCTCTATCCTACTGTTGCAAAATCCTCATAAAAACCGCAGTTACTCTGTAGAATATTTATGCTACCTCCTCACCTTAATGGAAACGTGGCTTCCTTGGTGGCAAAGTGTTAATGGGGTGCAGTCACTCTCTTCCACTCCCCACATCTCAGGACCTCGGTCCTTTTCTTATTGAATCCATCAACTCCTTCTCAGGGAATTCACCCAGCCACAACCTACCATCCCAGCATCCCCTCCAATGTCTGCCTTTAAAAAGTCCCTGAAGAAACAGAAACTCTTTGACTTAAAAATATTGAATGTCAACTGTAATGGAAAATTTTTAAAAGGTGCGGGGGGAAGATGAAGGGGAATAAGAGGTTAAAATTTCCAGGCACAAAACAAGTAAGTCATGGGGATGTAATGTACAGCACAGGAAATATAGTCAATAATATTGTGATAGCGTGGTACAGTGTCAGATGGTTGCTGGACTTATGGTGATCACTTCTTTAGGTATATAAATGTTTAATAACCAGGGTGTACACCTGAAACTATTATAATATTATATTAGCTGTATTTTAATAAAAATCTTTAAAAAAAAGATGTGCAGGGCTACTGAGAGAAATTCTGTTTGTTTCTAATTATATGCTGGTGTTCTTTGCCCATTCTCCTACTTTTAGATTTCTATCAATACCTCTATTTTCTTTTCCTTGGGAACTTTTTAGCTTTTGAGCTTTGTTTTTTTGTAAAACAGTATTGCTTAATATAATTATGGAACCTAGAAGGTGTTGATTTCATTTACACAATCTTTTTTTTGTGAAGAGAAAAGATGGGATAGGACAACCAATGGGAAATCATGGGGCCAATTATCCTCGAAAGCTACTTGGGCCACAATTTTGCTGGGGGCATCATTCACAGCAAGAAGCCAAAAAACAAATGCCCCTTGTCATTTTAACTCAGGCCTCTTGTGTAGTCCTATTTTTAAAGTCATGAAAAATTTAAACTGATATAATAGATTTGAGTTCTTAAAAAGATTAAATATTTCAAAATTCTTTTCCTGGGAAAAAGAGTTCAGACCTGTTATGATATCATATTTTGTTTGATTTCCTTACTATTCTTATATTAAATAAAAATGCTTCTCTAATATATAGCAGAAGAAACCTGACTGGAACATTCTAGTACTGTAATTCATAACTCCAGCTTTCTCCTGTTACAGATAAGAAATCATAAAGCAAAAACAAAATGTCATTTCAGATTAAAACATCTCTACTCAAAATGCTATAGCCATGTCTAAAAAATTAGATGTACTTTAATGTTATCAATAATGAACAAAATACTATACGAGCATATGACAATATTTAATCTATCATATGTGCCTCCAATAAACCACACCTATAAGACATACCCCAAATTAATGAGGAAATAATTTTTGGGGGGAAACTTAGGATCTGTTTTCCCACAGTTGGCAACCAGGAGCACATCCAAGACATGAATTAAAATGTGGGCTCTCTTCCTCTCAGCAGTGTCTGCTGCCTCCTTCAGCCAGTTGCCAGAATACTATTTGTATCAGCAATGGAGAGTGGGCTTGGCTTCCTGGCGAGGAGCAAAAGAAGGTGTAGAATATTTAAAGTAATACTTGTTATACCATTGCCATTGCAACCATGGGATGTCTTAGAAATACTAAAAAGTACTGCCATAATAATATCTTCACTTCACATTATGATATAGAATAACTATAAAGTTTTATTTATTATAAAGTTTAATTTACAGCTAAGAGGGAACATACTAAATCATATGAAAATGAAAATTTGCCTTTTCTAAACAATCTACACTAAATATCAAGCATAAAAAAGATATATTGAAGACATTATTGGACTATCGAAAACCTCTTTTTCAAATGGAAATCTACAGAGTGTCCTGGGTTTGCCAGCTTCATCGAGTATCAGCGATATTATTGGAAGCGGGGAGTAAGAGTAATTCAGTGACTGTATCTTAAAAATGGAAAGGAAAGTGCCTTCCCCACGAGTGGGCAGCAGGATTTAGTGAGTGCCATATGGAGGGTGCATGGTGGCCTGCCAGGTGTGGACCAGGCCCGCATTACTTTTAGTTAACCTCATTCCCCTAGAAGTATCCTCAAGTTGTGGCTTAATAAAACAAAGGTAGAGCATGTAAGTTAACATCACATGGAAGCTATTTTAGAAAGTGCCAGAAGAGGGTGCTAAATCAAATGCAAATATCTGAAGACAGCAGGGGGGCAAGGAATTTCTTAGGCTCTAAACTAACCAGTAAACAGCTTCCTCCTTTGCTGACCAAGCAGTTCTCTGCCAATCTTTCTGAGAAGTCTTTTTAAGGCATTTATCAGTGCTGCAGCAAAGAATCACTGATAAAATGTCATCAGAGCCAATCCTGGATCCTTTTGACTTCTGCACTTGAGAAATGACATCTCAGAAGGGATTTTAACACCCCCACACACTTTGCCTGTGGATTAAAGAAAGTCATGTGCCTTCTTGGAACCATGTGGACATTGTAAGGAACAAATTAAGCAATGTATGTGGAAGTACTCTGGAAAGCATGTAAATCACAAAAATCTGTGGAATCATTTTGGAGAGGGTTGGGCTTAGTGTGAGATAGGAAATTAACATAAATTAGCACTTATGAAGCACCTATAACATGACAGACATTGTGTTCTGTCTTTTACTCAGGTCACAGATTCCTCACAAGCATTCCATGAGGTGGGTATTACTAGTCCTCAAACTTCGGTATGTGTTTTCCGTGACATGTATACAAATACAATGTATGTACATATATATACATACGCACATGTCTATATAAAATGTCTGTGAGCCTAAGTTTCCTAATTTATGAAAGGGAGATAATAGCTGATGTCTAACTACACAGGACCAAATGAAGAATATTAAATATGGAAAGAGAAATGGCCATTTTGTTCACTGGTTTACTGTACGGAGAATAGAACCACACACAACTTTTAAGTTTGTAATAAATAAATAAATATGTAAGGGCATTAATACTTCATTTTTCCTTTAAGATAGGGTCAAGAATAAAGATTTTTATCTTAAGCAAAAACAAAAACAAAACTAGATAGGGAAAAAGAAAACATCCTTAAGATTGCCTGGAGGAAATTTTCCGGAGACAAGCTTTGCCTTTTATTCCTGTCTGAATAGCAGAGCTGCCCTCTGTTTGCAAAGAGGTAGGAAATGTACTTTTCCTTCTGCTGCCATTGTGAAAGGAAAGTTAAACCTGACTTGGTTTCTGATAAATGATAATTACATGCATTCTCAAAGACTGGCAAATTACCTGGGCTAAATGCCATTTCTGGGAGCTTCACTTCGAAGATGATGCTGTGGGTGATCTCTCTGACCCCCTGCATGGTTCGGTCCCGGAAGCAGAGAACTTCAACAGATGGGAAACTGCTACTCCTAGTGTCAGGCCCAGATTTTATTTTATTTTTTTTAAGAAAAGAAAAGAAAGAGCTCACATAAGAACTTCAAAAAACCCAGTTAGAAAGAATTCAATTCATTGTAATGATGCCTCCCTGACACCCTCGGGTAATGGCCTTAACAGCTGAGAGATTTTGAACACATCCATGTAAGCTTCTTTGTCTAAGTGTTCAGAGGCTGAAGGCTGAATAGGCTGTGATTTCTTTCTAGGTGAATTTTATACAACAATCACATTGCACATAAATACTGCTGACAAATGAATCTCAAATGCAGGAGAACAAAAAAAGCTCACAAGACATTAAAAAGAACCTCTAAGGCACACATGGGTTCTCCTGGCCACCCTTCTCTCATCTGAACTTACACCCATGAAACCACAGCTCAGTCGGCAGACAGGAAGCCCATTTGTGCCATATAGACTGACCACCTGGATAAGCCAGTATAACCATTCTCTCTCTGGGGACCATCTATAACTTAGTCATCTTCATGTTTTTTAAGTAAATATTTTTACTTACGTAAAGCAGACACAAAGACAAGTACACAGATCTAACTGTAAAGGAGCTTGTCTCATGGCTTCTCCCAGTTACTAACCACCTCCTTCAAAAGGAACTCCTATTCTAACTTCTAAGTCCAAAGCTTTTGTCTGTTTTGACCTTCACATAGATGGACTCACAGAGTATGTATTCTCCTCATATCCAGCTTATTTCACTCAACAGTATGTTTTTTAAACTCATCCAGATTGATACATGTATCGGCAGTTCATTCAGATTCGCTACCATGCAACCTTCCATTGCAATGAATACACAGTTTATCACCCACTTCATTGTTGACGGACATCCGGGTTACTACCAGTTTTGGGTTATTAAGAACAACGCTGCTCTACACATTCCTGTATATGTGTTTTGCTTGTATCTGAGAGCATTTATATGTGTTATATATCTGGAAGTGAAATTGCTGAGCTATAGATATTTTTAACCTAGATACTGAGGTAGATACTGCCAGTTTTCCAGCAATGTTTGAAGAGTTCCAATTGCTCCACATGTTTAACACCAGTATTGTCATTTTTAAAGTCATTCTGGTGGGTATGTAGCAGAATCTTAATATCGTATCTTATGATCTCTATTAATGAGTAGTATCTCATTATATTTTATTTCCTTGATGACTAATGATGTTGAGCATCTTTTCAAAGGTCTGTTAGCCTTTTAGAAACCCTCTGTTTGAATTATTTTAGGGTTAGATAAAAGGAGGTTGGTAGCGACAGGAAAATCCTATCTGAAAGCAAGCCAAACAGCTGAAGGGAGGGCTGGAGAATTTCAGGGTTGGGACCTCTGGCTGTTTGCCTACTCTAAATATACTCTAAAATACCTTTAGTACAGCAATGGTCATAGTCTGCAGCTCCATAACAGACCTGCTCGGGGCTCACCATTGATGGAAATTGGGTCATGACTGGTTTATTGATTTATTATCTGGTTTCTGTGCCAGAAAAGAAAAAAATGCATTTGGGAAAACAGAGATACAGAAATAAGCAGACACAGTGTCAAAAACATATAGAAAGACAGACTGACAGATAGACACACAACACACACACAGGTACATACCATCTGTGGGCTGCTAGGACCAAAAAATTCCTCAAAGGCCATCCAGGGTACTGGGCTAAGTTACAGGGATCATAGACACCAATTGTTATCTGTGAACAGAAAAGACTTTCTGAATGAGTCAAGTATCATGTTAGATTCACAATACAGACATTGCTAATAGTTCCTCTTCCGTTTTTATGCTGTTCTGAAAAAACATTAATGATTAGACACTTGGTGAAGGGATAAAAGGGCAGAGAGGAAAGCAAAATGATGTCACACTTGACAACAGAACTTCTTGATGGCAGGAGCTGTCAAATTCTTCTCTACACCCCTGTACCTTGCACTGGGCCTGGCAGAGACTAGGAACTACATGCATTTAAAAGGGAGAAAGACTGAAAGGAAGACAGAAAGAAAGAGAAGGCAGGAAGGAAGGTGGAAGGACTGTCAACTCTCAGGGCTCACATAGAGAAAATCCTCTCTTAAAAAGAAATAATCTGTGAAAATGGCTAATCTTTAAATAGTGAGAAAAATCAAAGAAGTGCCACCACCATTGTAAGTCTATAGTCAGATCAAATTAAACAGACAGATGCCCTTGACTGCTGACATACATTTCCTCCCACTCCTCTCTCTCCACCCCCAAACTTGACTTCCATCTGGAAAACTACACAACTTCAAATTCCATTTGTTCAGTTGATGACTCTCCTTGGCAGAAGTAGTCACTCTGTCCTCTCTGCTCCCACAGCTCTTTGACCATTATACATAACATTTTTCACTTTTCCTGTCTCCTTCCTCTCAAAAGACAATGAGCACCGAGCACCTGCCTCTTGATTTCTAAATACCATTCTCTAATAAAAGGAATCAGGGCTCCTTGGACCCATGGCTAATCTAGGGCTGAGGCAGGGGGAATACAAGATGAACTTGGAGCACCTTGCATACCAGAAAGTAAGGAAGTGCTCAATAAACAAAAAGATGGGGGCATGTCAAGGGGACACCGGAGCCAATTGAAAGAGCTCTCAATGGCCAAGGCTGGACCAATATGGGCAACAAAATAACTAACATAGTATTGGATTATAATGCATAATATAAAATAAGTCTCTATGCATCCATTCTGACATACTTAAATGATGGGATAAATAAATATATGAAGATAAAGGAACAAGTCTTCCCTACAGAAGATTTCCAAATAATATATGTAGATACTGCCCACTCCAGGAGTGGAGCTTAATCCTTCTCCTCCTTGAGAGTGGGCTGGACTTAGTAAATCACATCGAAAGAAAAGAAATGGTAACTTTATAGTGGAGAAACCTGGCAAATACTACTTTAACCAAGCGATCAAGTTTACCATCACGGGGATGCCTTGTGGGTATCAGGTCTCCCCTGATATGATGTGATGAAAAGGGCACTTCACCTCAATGGTGTTCTTTCCAAAAACCCATAATCCAGTCTAATCATAAGAAAACATCAGAGAAACCCAAATTAAGAGGCATTCTACCAATATAACTGACCAGTACTCCTCAAAACTGTCAAGGTCATCAAAAACAAAGAAAGTCCGAGAAGTTGTCATGGACCACAGGAGACTAAGAAGACCTGATGACAATGCAACGTGGGCCCCTGGATGGGATCTTGGAACGGGAGGAGGGGCTTACTGGAAAAACTGGTGGAATCTGAATAAAGTATCGAGTTTAGTTTATAATCATGTACTAATGTTGGTTTCTCAGTTTTGATAAATGTACCATGGTAATGTAAAGAGGTGATATTCTCTAACTGAAATGGGGTAAAGGTATATGGGAACTCTCTGCACTATCTGTGCAACTTTTCTGTAAATGTAAAATTATTCCAAAATGAAAAGTTTATTTTAAAAAAAAAGACAATGTGCATCTAGAGAACAGGGAGTATCTCCCCATGATCAGTCCATAGATACACAGCAAATACTTAGGGAATGCTTGCTGAATAACGAGAAAGGATGGATGGATGGATGGATGGATTGATGGATGGATGGATGGATAGATGGATGGGTGGATAGATGGGTGGATGATGGATGGAAGGGTGAAAGTAGGGAGGGAGGAAAGATGGTTGGCAGAGAACCATAAGTTAATGCACAGGTTTTCGTTATAGGTATAGCTGTGGGTTAAATAAAAACATGGCAGATAAACTTTTGGTTACTCTAGATCCAGTTAGTTCTATAAGAATGGGATCAGCCCAAATACTTCCATATATTTACCACAGTGCTGAGCACAGTGTCAGCCACAAAGAAGGTACTTGACCAACATTAGGATGAAAGACAGAAAAAAAAGAGGAAAGGGAAGGGGAAGGAAGGACTAAAACATAACACCACCATCGAGAGAGAACCACTATTAACATCTTGGTGTGTAACTTCCTGTAACTTTATTCTTTACATACATATATTTTTATTATTACAACTTTTAAACAAAAATGGAATCACGCTATACTGTTTTGTACCTCTTATTCTATTGTAAACTCTCTTCCATGCCAATAAATGTCATTCTACAACCACTGTCAGTCATGGCTGAATGGCATTCCCTTGTATTGATGTCCACAATATTTTTTCTATTTCCTGTTGGAGGACAATTGAGTAGTCTTCATCTGTGCTCAACAAATCTCTGAAAATGAGTTTTACTATTGTCTTATCAGAGAATTACTGCCTTATTTTGAAGATGTTCTTTATAAATGTTTGCTGCCTTCTCTGCTATCATCAATTTTCTTATTTCTAACACTGAAGCTTTTTGCCTAAATGCATTTTTGTGTCTTAAATGCAAATAGATTCATATTTAATTCAATACAAATAGATTCATACGTATGGCCCTCCTTTCAGGAAATACAGGATATCTTTATTTGAGATTTCCTTTCCCAAAGGGAGATAAAACATCAGCAGCTAGGGAGCTTTTAAAAACAGCCTGCAGAGACTAATCTGAGTGCTGCCCCTTACTCAAAGAGTGGCCTAAGGCAAACTAGTCAACTCCTCCAGGCCTCATCCTGGGGGAAATAACAGTACCTACTTCACAGAGATGTAGTGAGGATTAAATGAGATGGTCCTGAACATGAAAAGCCCCACACATGTAGTGCTGCTCACATCATTATTAGCGCCGCCAAATCTCTGGTGGTGAGCCTAGCTGTGTGTATCTGTGTAATATACCTGAGTAACCGTGATGCGGTTGGTCCAGTCCACAGGCCATACAGAAGGTGGTCTTGTAGACACAAGGAAAAACACCTGTGGCGCTATTTTTCATTACCTTGAGAACCCTGGTTTGACTCTGTCTTCCCTGCTCCGCAAAATGTGCTTCGTGCACCAGCAGCGTCAGCATCCCCTGGGGGCCTGTCAGAAATGCAGATCTCGGGCCATCTTCAGCCCTGCTGGACCCAAACCTGCATCTTTAACAAGGACCCAGGTGGTTCCCATGCTCACTGCAGTTAGAGGGGCACCACTTCACTCCTCACCCCTCTCTAGCCCTGGTTCTCACATTTGAAGGCGTGTGGGGATCACCTGCACAGCTTTCAAAAATCCTGTTGCCTGGGCCCCACCTCCAGAGGTTTTTCTCCTCCATGTGGGGTGCGGGTTGAGTATTAGCTGTTTTTAAAGCTCTCCAAAGGATTCTAATGTGCGGCCAGGTTGCAAATCACTGCTTGAGCGTCTGCAGTAGTTTCTCAAAGTGTGGTCCACCACAGACCACCTGCACCAGAATTTCCTGGAAAGCTCTTTGAACTTGCACCACCCCAACCCAACCCCACACCTCCCTAAGTATCAATACCTGCATGTTCAGAGACCTCCCCATGTGCTGCTCATGTACACTATCATTTCAGCACTCGCTGCCTAGAGTCGAAGAAGGAGAAAACAAGCGCTTGCTTAAAACGGGGTTCATTGCACCCTGTATTTTCCTTATGGTAACTGATTATTTGTTGAACCTTTGTATTTTCTTGATTCAAAGGCACCATAGATTATAAAATGCACTTTCAAATTGGATAGAAAAAAAGGGAAAACATTACCACATTGAATATATACAATAACTGTAAGAAATTCCTGACTTTAGAAAACTTATGAAAGAAAAAAGCATTTGAGAGTGGAGAGAATACAGAATGCATTTCACATCTGTTTCTCTTGCTGGGCTACAAGCTCTGTGAGGGCAGGAGCAGTGTCTATCGTATTCATCTTCCCATCCCTAGTAGCTGGCACAGTACCTGATGCTCAGCAAACATTTGTTTAATAAATAACAGAATTGGTCAGTTTCCACAGGCCCCAATATATGGAACGCTCTCCCGTCTCCCCCATGTTGGGCAGGTAACCTGGGAGGCAGCCAGAGGGGAAAGGTGATGTCTGACCAACAGAGACCTGAGGCTTACACATAAAACCATGATGCAGCATCTCAGCCAGTTCCCTTTCCTTTTCCAACATGGCAGGTCCTCCGTGCAATAACATTTAACACTGGGATCCTCCTGGGTGAGAATGTGAGAGCATGGACTAAAACAGGATTTTCTACGAGAAGCAAGAGAGCTCTGAGAACGAGATCTCCGGCCCGCAGCTCCCGCTGAACGAGGAAGTTCCTTCCTGGGGGCTCTTCTGGTCCAGCGTGCCGCCACCACCACCTGAAACACCTTTTATTTTGTTTCCCTCAATCGTGACAGACAGTATCTGCTAGACAAACTACACTTATTAAGGAATCATTGCTTCGATTTCAATTTTTTTTTACATTCATCAAAGGCATTTACAACTCTGTTACCCAGCAAGGAAAGGGGAAGACGGGAGAAACTGACGTTCCACTTCTGTAACATTTGAGACAGGTTAGAAGAAGCCAAGGGCCTGATGCAGTGAAAAACAGCAATAACAACACTGGCTGGAGCACCAGCAGGTCATGTGTTCTCATCCTGCAGCTACTTGATTTTAAGAACTTAGGGAACTTCTTTCCTCACCTATAAAATGAAAGGGGTGAATCGTTTTATCTTAAAGGATTCCTTCTAACTCCAGAATTACAGAACTTCTAAGAGAAAAAAGTCCTATATAGCTTACGAAACAACACAGACTAAGGTTCAATTTTATGGGGTGTCTAAAGGCTATTACTCAATTTTTACCTACACAGCACCAATCCAGAAAATGCCA